AGAAAGCATTTGACAAGGTGCCACATAAAAGGTTTGTAAAAAAATATCTCTATGTGTGGGGGATAAGTTAGCTAATTGGACAGAAGAGTGACTGTATGGAAGAAAGCAGAAGGTTGTTATACATGGAGTTCAGTCAAACTGGATTAATGTCACACCAGGGGTACTTTTTGATTTACATCAATGACACAGATGAAAGAATGGTTAATAAGTTATTTAAATTTGCTAATGATATTAAGGTCTTGGCTGTTGCAGGCTATGAGGAGGATTTTGCTGATTTCAAAAGGATTTAGATCATTCAGGGAGTTGGACAAATAAATGACAGAAGGTTTTAATTACAATAAGTGCAAGGTAATGCATGTGGGTTATAATAATTTAAATTATATGTATAATGTGAATGGGAATAACCTTAACAGTGATACAAAAGAAAGGGATCTTGATGTATTGGTTGGTCAGTCTTTTTAGCCATTCAAGCAGTGTGTGTTGCTAGGGGTAGGACAAATAGGATTTTAGGTTGCATCTACAGAAACATTGAATACCAAGAGTTATAATTTCCTTGAATAGGTCACTGGTTAGGCCACATTTGGTGTATTGTGTTCAATTTTGGCTTCCTTACCTTAGGAAGGACACTGAATTGTTAGAAAGTGTTCAGAGGTGCCTGAGATGGAGGGGTTGTCATACGAGGAAAGGTTAAGACCTCTGAAATTGCTTTCTCTTGAAAAAAAAAAAGGAGTTAGAAGGGATTTGATTGGGGTGTTTAAGATTGGTAAAAGAATTGACAGTGTTGATGCATCATCTTTTTTTCATAATTAATGAGATAGTAGGACTAGAGGACACAAATATAAATTTTGGCAGGGTAGGAGTCCTCTTCAGCTAAGATAGTTTTATTTTTCTGACAGGGTGGTTGGCCTTTGTAATGGGTTGCCTTCAGATGTTGTGGAGGCAGTAAATTTAAGTGAGTTTATAAGAAAGCTTGATAACTATATGAATGATAAGGGCTGTCTTTGAGGTTGTTGTTTTTATATTATTTAATAGTTTTAATTTAGTTTATAAGATGGGACAGCCTAGATCAGGGGTTGGCAGACCTTCAAAGAAAAAGAACCATTTTTTTGTCTTTGTCTGAGACCAAAACATTTCAAGAGCCGCAATATGGCATAAAGGTCTAATGATAGTAAGTCTTCGGATTTACAATGCTAAATTCAGGGGTTCAATTCTCCTCAGTGGACACAGTAGATAGCTCAAATGGACCAATACATCCCTTGTTGTCCCTAAACATTATATTATGTTACTGTATTTCAATTATCCATGCAACAAGTAACATCCTTAATACAGTTAACAGATTAGTAATATAAGATTTCCCTTAAATGAACCCACACTGATTTTTTTTTGTTATTATGTTTTACTAGATGATACTGCAAAACTTTTATTATCATTCTGCAGCATTTTTACCACTTCAAATATAAGACAAATTGGTCTACAATTTTCTGAATTCTAATTCACCCCCCCCCTCAAAAATAAGAGTAACTGTACAAGAAATGCAAGTTTCAGACTTACTCCTCTAGTTAGGTGCAGGTATAAAGGGACAGCCTTTAAGTAATCCTATAAGTAGTGCAGAGCTTTAAGTTTCTACCCTATCTTTCACCATGTAAACTTTTATCAACTCCCCATTGTACTATACTTATCCACCAATATTCAACAAAATATTCAAATATTTTAAGCACAATAGGTATGATTTAATATTTTGGATTTCTATGGAGATTTCAGGTATGTTTTTGCAACAAAAAGTACATTTTAAAATAACTGTATGTTAAAATTAAATATTTCAGGCCTAGATATCACCATTTCCACATCCTATTCTTATTATGGTAAGTGACCAGTCATGTATGTTAACTTATCTTTTAAAATGATGAAATTTATCTCTTGCATGTCTGATGTGGTGTGAAAGCTATCTCTATAAATTTCTATATCTAAGCTGGCCAATTGATAATGGTAATGTACGCATACAACAATTACACAGTGAATTTTTTTTTTTTTTTTCACAGAAATTCCAAAGAATCTCAATTGAGTATAAAAGGTTTAAATAGACATATTTTGTTTAAAGTAGTTGCTTACCTTTTGAAATATGCAAGAAATTGATAACAGCTACAAAAAATTGGCAAAAGTAACATGATGCATGTAATAATGTACTTAAAATTTAAGAGAAAGAGAATAAAATTATTACACTGTTAAAGAAAGCATAAAACGTATTTATGATGCATTTATCCTTTTTTTTTTACATATTAAAATAGAAAAAAAAAAAAAGGCCAAAACTTCTTTCTTGTAGCTTAATAAAATTAATTTCCTTTTCTTTTTTCACTTTTTATTCTATTATACGAAAAAGTATGAGAAACTCCATAAACTATGTTTTCTATTTCTTTTAATTTAAGAAGTATAATTTCGTTATCGGTGCTATGATTTCCTATTACTATTACAGTATTAGGTGTTTAGTATAAACGTGGAAAAAAAACTTGTAATTTTGTGTATCTCACAAAGTTGTAGGTTAACCTTAAAGTTGAAGCAAGTAGTCTCTTGTTGTTTCGTAAGATTAAGTAATAGTATATTATACTACTTGTAAAAAAAAGTATAAGTACTTTAGAGTAGGGTAGTAATAGAAAATGGGCCCTACTGTCCCTTGTTAGCCCTAAGAAATAAATAAAATTAGAACTGACGCTTACGATAATACTATGGAAATAAGTCTTAAGATTAATATTTTTGGACTTGTATAAACTTGCTAATATATATAATTACCAGCAAGTCTTTGTTCTAATGTTCTAGCGATACCAGGGGGTTTCCCACGTAGTCTTAAATGTCGAGTTAAAGGTCTTTCAATAAAGTTTTTAGCACGCATTACACCTCCCAACAATCTAATGGCAGCAGCCATTTTGATTTTAATACTAATTGTCCTCTATGAATCTATCACAAACTTTTAAAACTAATTTTATACCAATCATTGATTATCAGAAAACGTTCAAATCTCATGATGTTAATTACTCCCGATATAATGTGATCTAAGGTGAAAGAAAACTTTCGAATTTAATTTCTAGAAACTTTTCCATTATAAGAAGACTTGAGTAATAACGTAATTAACTTTTACTACTCTATCATTTCTTTATTGTTATTGAAATAACAATACTTGTTATAATGTTTGATACATCTAATTTTATTATTTTTATTTTTACTTTTTATTACAACAGTTTTATTATAGATATCCTATTCTTGCACTGTTAGCTTAATATATACATTAAGGACAAGCTTCATGCATACGGGCGGTATGCTTGTGGGCTTACAACACTAGAAACCGGGTTTCGATACCTGTGGTGGCCAGAGCACAGATAGCCAATTGTATATGTTACGTCTCCGTTTTTTAATTGATTTTCCGTAACTTCGTGCCGACGAAACTTAAGCGACACAAGCCTTTACTTAATAAAACTGGTTTACTCTTTCCGAATATAACTTAACCGATACACTCAACAATCGCGCTAAACAAACGCTATAGCAACGAACGTCAATAATACTCCGACCGCAGATCAATTACTCACTATCTATCCACACATTACATTCCCCTCTTTTATATATACCGGTCTACCCTCTATCCAGTAATTACTAGAGCATTCGCCAAATTACAGGATAGTTCTAGAAACGTGGCGTCACGGTGGTCACGTGACTCGCTGACGCAACACTGCCCCCTTCTTAATATTGTTCGTCCCGAACAATAACCACATATGATAAACCAATAACAATAACTTAATTAAAATGTACAGAATTACAAACACAAAATTACAATTCAACAAAGTCTCTTAATTTTACGGGACGTATCTTCTTCCGTACTGGTCTCCGTCTTGTTGACTTCTGCTTCATGTGAGGTTCATCTGCTTCATCAGGAAATGTCCTATCATTGGTAACAGTCACATCAGTGGTAGTAATTTCATCAAGAGCTTCACCGTTTCCTTTCTCAAAACTGAGTAGAGTTTCTTCTTCGACGGTGGCTTCTTCAGGTGGCACGTCTTCAGCAGCGTCATTTGTTCTGTTGTCCAATTCGTCCCAACTGAAATGTCCTGGACCGTGATAATGCCAAAGCCTGTTGGCATGCACCACTTTGGGCTTACCTCGCCGACCACATTTTACCCGGAAAGTCATGCACTATGTCATATAGGCCTTCCAATGGAGAAGAC